TTTCTAGCGTTGTAAGTCCGCAGACATACCGCTGTGCCACTGGAGGGCCAGCACATACGAAGACTGACAGATTGATATTGATATCGATATGAACTTTTAGGAATTGCAACAAAAAATATTGAATTTTCCTTTAATGTACTCTTGAAAGTAAGCATTTTGATATATATATCCTACGATTAACCGTTCAGGAGATACAAAGCGTGACAGACAGACATTTGGCTGAGCTTCAACTAAGCCTTATTGTTTTACTAGCGTATAGTCCGTCAAAAGTGACGGGGCAAGTACTACCACCCCACCCCATAGTGTACCCTAACCTCACAGTTAACTAAAATAAATAAATTCTGCGAAATTAAGCTTGACCAACAAAGAGGAAGAAAAGCACAGTCGAGGCAGTCAAACGTCTGTAAATTCCTTTGTGAGCCAATCAAAATTAAGATCATTCATGAAATTAATTCGTGGCGTATTCATAGAATAAATATTGGTAAAAATAAATTTGGTTAACAACTTCTAATATATAGAAAAGACAGTGCATTTTGGTAACACTACGTTCTAACAATGACTTTTATGTCATGTCGCTGAGCAACAAAAGTATAACCTAGTATGTGTCGATTTCTTAATTTAGAGTCTTCGATGATTAAAGAGGTTTTTTTTTTATTCAAAACGTTGATGATATAACAGAAAATATCTTAATTCCGAAACTATTTAAGTTTAAAATTGAATCCATATTTTTACTTTCGCGATACATTTTATGCACTTGGCACCAGGCTAGATTATACCACACTATGTCTTTACTTTAGGCTTACTAAGCCAAAACTCATTACACATATAAGGTTTCACGGCACACACACACATACACATCCCTCATGGCCTTCTTGCACCCCCGTCACTAAAATAGAACTATTCTATCTGGATACATGCATTTTGGCTTTTATGATTCCTCCTATTTCGAGAAATAAATAGAAATCAAACGTGACGTGACACACATTGGCTTTTATATAGGTTCGATTACATGCTTATATCTTGCTAACACATTATAGTCATAAACTCTTATAAAAAAAAAAAGTCACAGATAAAGAGCGCTAAGGATTTGATAATAATTGAAGTTAAATGGTTCAAGCCATAAACATAAACGGGAATAACTACAAAATTAAAAGATAAGTTTCATACACATAAACGAAGACATATGACTGCAACTGAACACGAGAACAAAAGATACAAGAGAAGAGCTAAATATGAAGATATAAGACAGCAAGTAAATACGAAGATAAAAAACAGGAACTGAACAGGAAGATGTTAGACTGCAGCTAAACACAACAATACGAAACAGCAGTTAAACATGACGATGCGAGACTGAAACTAAATATAAGGATTTCATCAAATAAGAGCATTCAACGTTTAAAAATGCGCAATAATTTACTGTATAAGTTAAAAGTAAAATATACAATTAAAAACTCTACAAGTTTCGGTGGGAAAAGTTCCACCATCTTCAGGAGACCGAAACATGTAGAGTTTTTGATTGTATATTTTAGTTTTAATTCATACAGTAAATTATTGTGGATTTTTAAGCTTTGAATGATCTTATTCTATGAAATTATATGCACAATAATGGTTATAGAATATACTGAAATATAAGAATACAACAGTCAGCTAAGCTTGAAGATACAAGACTGCAGGCAAATATCATAATGCAAAATGGCAGCTAAAGATAAAGAAATAAAACTGCTGGTTAACATGAGGATACAAGACTACACCTAAACACAACACAAAAGATACAAGACTACACCTAAACACAACACAAAAGATACAAGACTACAGCTGGAAGGCCAAAGTTTCGTGCCGCGATGCCGCTGAACATGTTCCGGGCTTTCAGCTGTAGGTGCATTGCAAGTGTGACAGTCATTTCCGTTCTTCGGAAAAACGGGCAAAGCCCTTATAGCGCAGTTGCTTCTTACTGACTCCCCTCTAACCAGCAGATCAAAATTAGAGACAGCTATACCGTTCATATTGAAAATATCATACTAATATCTCGGCGATCAATTTTAAGAAGCTTGTGGCAATCTTCAACATACAAGGTCAACTAAAATATGACAGTACTCATTTAGGATTAAGGATTTCCACTAATTAAGTTAAAGCATAATTCCTACTGTTAAACAGATAAATAACACAATACATACTTACCGTATGTCTTTTCGCAGCACTCTCTTAGGCAATCTTCGGCACTTTTGGAGGAGTAGAGCTTAATAATTTCTACTTTGGCGCCATTTTTCACCGAGTCTTCTTGACTTAACATTTGATTGTGAAACCATTGACTGTCTTGTGGGCAGTGCTCTCCGCTGGTGACAGGGAAACACTCGATTATGGTTATAAAAATCAATGCCCACCACCAGGTGGCACCTTTCATGCTGATTCTGTCAAAGAAATGTGAGCCATCTTAATATAAAATTGTTAAAATAATTCAAAAGTATGCTGTTTGTCTTTGTTAAAAATATTCTTGAAATAGGACATAAACAAATAAATCCGTCATTAACCTATTTATGACATGCCAGAAAAGGAAATATAAAAGTATCACTGTCCTGATTTTTATTTTTTATTATGCAGGTAAAAAGTGACCAATAACACAAAGTTACAAATTATACTTATAACTATAGACACATGGGGAATTCATCTGGTATCTCGTGGGAAAATGTTTTATTAAATTATGCAAGATTGTTTTTTAATTTTTACGTTTTTCTATTTTCTTTCTGTATTCTTACTGATGCTGATTGTTGTTCACAAACTGAAAAATTTAGGGACATAAACATGTTTCATCAGCTCTTTAATACGGTTGCAATAAATAAATAAATAAATAACAGTTCTGACGTATCAACTTACAAAATATAAAAACATATGTTTAAGCTATGTGACGCTTGCGCTCAGAAACATAACATATACTGTTGAAGGAGAGTAAATACGATTTTAACATTTTTAATTAAGCCTTTATTTCATTATGACACATTTCAAACAAAGTATTTTAAAAGTAAACACAAACTCATATAGTTATATCAATGGTTTACAAATAGTGGAGTTGAAACTTTGTAGAGTGGACGGCAACTGCCTGTTATAGAGACACAAGTGTGGAGGAAGACTTTCGAAACGTCGTCTTCCACACTTGTGCCTCTACAACGGGCAGTTGCCGTCCATTCTACAAAGTTTCAACATAAATACTCTACCTAAACAATCTGTCAAAAAATAGTAGAGTTCTTACGAAGAAATAAAAATTTTCTATTTTACACTATATTGTAGGGTTACGTATTTGATCTCTGTTTCCAAAACTTACATGTACTTA